TTCATCGATCCTGTACTTTTTATGCAATAGCGATATGCCAATTATGGTGCATTTTATTTTTTTTCCAAACCATCACCTTATTACATTATGTTGGGGGTGCCGTTGGATCTGATAATTTGGCTAGTAGTCCTGCTTTAGAATTCTTAAAATTACAGTATTTTAACTTTCATGTTTCTAGTGTTACATGTATGAATGGTCCATGATTAAAACTTTCAACTCCATATATAAATGGCAATTATTAGCACTGGTCTCGTATAGACACCTAACGTTTCCCTTTTATTTGCTTGAAGTTCTCTCAAAACAGAACTGCATTGTGACACTTTCTAACTCTCTCTGTCTGTGGTGCATTGGTTAACTCAGTTTGAAATTTTAGATGTTTTGGTGCTTACTGGAAACACGAATTTTTGGGCATATTTTTTATTCAGTTTACTATGTATATCAAGCGGAAAGTGGTGTTGTCAATGTCACTTGGGGAAATTGTATGATTTTGATACAATTTTTATACCCAATGATACCAAAATCTCACAAGTGAACCAATGAGCCAACCTCTCTACAATGTAAACAATCAAGGATAATACCCATTTTCAAACCATAGTTACCTATCAGGCCAATGAGGGGCCATTGCTTGCTCTGCAATGGTGAAAGTTTAGGTTGTCAACTGTGAGGACATGGGTTAACTTTTGGTGCTCGACGGCATGCAAAAATAGGTGAAACAAGACATATGAAGGGTGGAATAAAAACTAGGTCATGAGTTGAATCTAACGACTCGAAAATGAGGTAAAACGGAGTTACCACTAAGGAGATACAAGTGCTTGAATGTGCATTTAAATATGAAACTTTTGTCCAAATAGAGAAAAATCTTATTTTTGGCTAATTTTCGGAACTCTCATGTAGGGCCGACCCTGGGCATAGGCCCACCAGGCCATGGCTTAGAGTCTCTCAAAATACACACAAAAAAGTGGCCCTCTCCTATTAAAATTTAGTGTAATATATTTGGTATGTTTTAAGTTTAAAAAAAATTAAAAAAGACCCAAACTAATTTAAAATAAATTGACCCATTGAAAAATTAAAAGGCTCATTCAAAATTAAAAAGGCCCACTCTCTCTCACTTTCTAATTCCTAACCCTAACTCTTTTGACACAATTTTTTTGTTCTTTACCTTCAATTTTTTTTTTTTTTTGGTTGAATAGAAAAAAAAAAAGTGAAGGACCCCAAATGATCAGTGATATTTATTAGTTCATTATTCGTTTTGGGGCCTCGAAAATCTCAAGGTAGAGCCTACTTTAACGGCAAGTAAAAAGATGTGGAATAAGACATATGAAGAATGGAATGAAAATTAGGTCATGAAGTGAATTCAACGACGCAAAAATGAGGCGAAACGGAGTTATAACGAGGGAGATACAAGTGTTTGAACATGTGTTTGAACATATGGATTTGAATCTGAAATTCTATCTAAATTTTCATTAGTTTAATATGACGGAGATAGACGGAAGGGCCAGATTGAAATACAGATGGAACTTTAGGATTCAATTTATCGAAACTAAAATTTTGGAATTTAAATTAAAAAATACTGAAATTCTGAGTTTTTTTTTTATTATTTAAAATTAACCATTCTTTTTTAATTCCATATTCGTTTCTTACCATATAATGGGCAGTGGAGAAGGTTTGAGAGCCATACTCGTTGATCACTCATAACAGCTCATGAATTGCGGCCTAACCCAGATCTGGGCCGGCCTGGCCAATTTCCAAGGCTAAATGAACCATTGGAAGAGATGTGATGCGACGCAAATGGAGGAATACAACTCTTCTGCGGAAGGAGTGCGCGTTTCTCCAACCAATAGAAACCCAGGATTGAGTCATCAAACCAATAAAACGCCTCCACGTGGGAAATTCAACGTCGCTTCAAGCTTTCCTCATTAACATAATACATCCCAACAAACACCAACGATCGACTCAGGAGAGAGAGAGAGAGAGAGAGAGAGAGATAGGCAGTTGAGAAAACAAACTAAACGAATTTTCTCGTTTCTTCATTTTGCTTGCATTCTCTTTCTCTCTGTCGCATTCGATCTTGCATTTTCAAGCACTTTCTCGTCAGAGAAAGTTTTCATAGCTATTCCCGATCTGGTGATTCTGGTGGCGTTTGCAAATGGAGTCTCAGGGCGCCGGACTACGCCATGTTCTGGTGCTCGCTTTTTGCGTCGCAAGCATTTGGTCAGCTTATATTTACCAAGGAGTCCTTCAAGAGACTGTGTAAGTCCTCTCTCTCTCTCTCTCAACTCTAATTTGATCTTTGGTCTCGCTGATCAAGTTTAGTTTTCGAATTGTTGTAATTTCAATTCCCTAGATATCAATTTCAATTGTTTAGTGTCCTAAGACTAGAAATTTTAGGATTTACATATTTGAATGCTTTTAGTTTGTAAAAATTCATTGTTGATTAATAATAATGACTAATATTTGTGTTGATTGATGGCTTAGTCATTATCATCTTGTGAATATACCACTCTTTAAAAATTGTGATTTCTACATTCATAATGGCATGACTTGTGCATTGCATTGACGACCATGATGCTCTCACTGCAAGAATTTGTTTCTCCAAAATTTAAGTTACACCTTCTTCTGGGTATATTTGTGGTCTCCTAAATTGTTCATGAAGATTGATATATATATATATATATATATATATATTTGTAATTGTTATGAAACCCTTTAGGTCCACCAAGAGATTTAGCCTAAACAAAGAGAGGTTCGAAAGCCTAGCATTTCTGAATCTGGCATAGAGTGTAGTTTGTTTCATTTGGTCATTTATTAGTAAGTTTTTATATTTTTTTTAATCTTAATCTTTGTTTCTTGTCTGTGTGATTTTTCCCCTTTAGTTGGATTCAGATGTTATAGTTAAGTAATTAGTTTAATGTGCTGTTATGGGTCAGTGATAAAGCTTTGGTTCAGTGGTAGAAATGGTGGTGCTCCATGGTGGAGTCACTGGAGTGCTGGCATTACAAATACAATTAGCCCAGCTATGGAGATTGAAGCTTTAAAGTACATCAGTTACCCTGCCCAGGTATTTTCAATTTGTTTTCATATTTGACACTTTCTATGCAACTCTTTTTATCTATTTGTTGAAAGTTTAGCCCTTCGCCATTATCAATGTCACTTGGGGAAATTGTACGATTTTGATACAATTTTTATACCCAATGATACCAAAATCTCACAAGTGAACCAATGAGCCAACCTCTCTACAATGTAAACAATCAAGGATAAATACCCATTTTCAAACCATAGTTACCTATCAGGCCAATGAGGGGCCATTGCTTGCTCTGCAATGGTGAAAGTTTAGGTTGTCAACTGTGAGGACATGGGTTAACTTTTGGTGCTCGACGGCATGCAAAAATAGGTGAAACAAGACATATGAAGGGTGGAATAAAAACTAGGTCATGAGTTGAATCTAACGACTCGAAAATGAGGTAAAACGGAGTTACCACTAAGGAGATACAAGTGCTTGAATGTGCATTTAAATATGAAACTTTTGTCCAAATAGAGAAAAATCTTATTTTTGGCTAATTTTCGGAACTCTCATGTAGGGCCGACCCTGGGCATAGGCCCACCAGGCCATGGCTTAGAGTCTCTCAAAATACACACAAAAAAGTGGCCCTCTCCTATTAAAATTTAGTGTAATATATTTGGTATGTTTTAAGTTTAAAAAAAATTAAAAAAGACCCAAACTAATTTAAAATAAATTGACCCATTGAAAAATTAAAAGGCTCATTCAAAATTAAAAAGGCCCACTCTCTCTCACTTTCTAATTCCTAACCCTAACTCTTTTGACACAATTTTTTTGTTCTTTACCTTCAATTTTTTTTTTTTTTTGGTTGAATAGAAAAAAAAAAAGTGAAGGACCCCAAATGATCAGTGATATTTATTAGTTCATTATTCGTTTTGGGGCCTCGAAAATCTCAAGGTAGAGCCTACTTTAACGGCAAGTAAAAAGATGTGGAATAAGACATATGAAGAATGGAATGAAAATTAGGTCATGAAGTGAATTCAACGACGCAAAAATGAGGCGAAACGGAGTTATAACGAGGGAGATACAAGTGTTTGAACATGTGTTTGAACATATGGATTTGAATCTGAAATTCTATCTAAATTTTCATTAGTTTAATATGACGGAGATAGACGGAAGGGCCAGATTGAAATACAGATGGAACTTTAGGATTCAATTTATCGAAACTAAAATTTTGGAATTTAAATTAAAAAATACTGAAATTCTGAGTTTTTTTTTTATTATTTAAAATTAACCATTCTTTTTTAATTCCATATTCGTTTCTTACCATATAATGGGCAGTGGAGAAGGTTTGAGAGCCATACTCGTTGATCACTCATAACAGCTCATGAATTGCGGCCTAACCCAGATCTGGGCCGGCCTGGCCAATTTCCAAGGCTAAATGAACCATTGGAATAGATGTGATCCGACGCTAATGGAGGAATACAACTCTTCTGTTGCGGAAGGAGTGCGCGTTTCTCCAACCAATAGAAACCCAGGATTGAGTCATCAAACCAATAAAACGCCTCCACGTGGGAAATTCAACGTCGCTTCAGGCTTTCCTCATTAACATAATATATTGAACAATCTATAGACCACTAATTTATCATCACTAATACCACCACTAATGAGGTGGCAATTGAAAAAAAAAAAACGACTCAGTACAGAGAGAGAGATCGGCAGTTGAGAAAATAAACTAAAGGAATTTTCTCGTTTCTTCGTTTTGCATGCATTCTCTTTCTCTCTGCCGCATTCGATCTTGCATTTTCAAGCACTTTCTCGTCAGAGAAAGTTTTCATAGCTTTTCCCGATCTGGTGATTCCGGCGGCGTTTGCAAATCAAGTCTCACGGCGCCGGACTACGCCGTGTTCTGGTGCTCGCCATTTGCATCGCCGGCATTTGTCGGCTTATATTTACCAAGGTGTCCTTCAAGAGACTGTGTAAGTCCTCTCTCTCTCTCACTCTCAGCTCTAATTTGATCTTTGGTCTCGCTGATCAAGTGTAGTTTTCGAATTGTTGTAATTTCGATTCCCTAGATATCAATTTCAATTGTTTAGAGTTCTAGGACTAGAAATTTTAGGATGTACATATTTGAATGCTTTTAGTCTGTAAAAATTCGTTGTTGATTAATAATTTTTTGTGTCTATAAGAACACTTCGAAGGTGCGATTGAAAGGTTTAATCGAAGGTGCTGCTGATTGATTCTCTCCTTCGAAGGTGTGATTGAAGAGGTAAGTTCATCTTCGATTCTTTTCCCTTTTCTTTTTCGATTCTTTATCCTCTATCTTTCATTTTTTTTCCCCAGATTTTTGTGCTGTTTCTTCGCTGCAAACGATCGATTCTTCTCTTCTCTTTGGTTTTCTCTTTCTTTGATCCTTCGTCTTCTTCTTCATTTTTCTTAAACTCTCTCTTCTTTTCCTTTTTTTTTTTTTCTGATATATGTCCAGATTTGTTGAACTAAGTTTTGTCCTTAGTATTATTTTTTTTTCCTGATATATGTCCAGATTTTTGAACTAAAATCTGTCCAGATTTGTTGAACTAAGATCTGTCCTTGTTTTTTTTTCCCCCCTGATAGATGTCCAGATTTTTGAACTAAGATCTGTCCCTATTTTTTTTTAATTTTTTTTTCTGATATATGTCATATATATATGCAATATGATATTGGTTGTAAAGCTTGATGACAAATTGAAATCCCTTGACACCTTAAATTCTCTTTCGTAGCAGTTTATTTTGAGGGGAGGGATGGGGGTTTTGTAACTGAAAAACAGTGCATTAATTTGTGATGCATAACCATTGGTTTTGAGTTAAGTTAAGTTATCTGTCTGTTTCCACGTTGGTTAATTTCCTTGCAATGCTTGATGTTGTGGGTGGATATGATTGGTTATTGTTTCGTTGTCTTTCATGAACTAAAATTGAGAGATACTTTGTAGGTCAATATGGGAATCAGATTTAAAGGTGTTGTAGTGTCCTTGTTCTTGTCATACTTGTCACTGAAATATATATTTTATTCAAGATATGCAATATATTAGATCTGTCCAAATATTTAATTTTCCCTTTGGTGATGGCGTTGTTGAATTGAAATCTATATAATAAGAGAGAAAGGTTTTTGAATTTATCCTAGAGACAATTTTGCTACTAGGACATTTTAATGGTCATGATTCACTTGTGTATTTAGATAGACGGATGAGATGAGCCCCTTTAAATATATATCAATTTACTTTCCGCCCAAACGCTAAACTTCCTACTCACCCACGTCTCATCTCCATTCTATCTTTAAGATCACTCTGTTATTCTATCTTTATCTCCTCCCTTCTTTGTTCTCACCCACCCCATTCCCTCTTTATCTCTCTCTCCCTCCATGTTCTTCTTCTTCCATACTCTCGCTCCCAAAACTACTGCTCTCCAGGTAAGATCACTCTCTCATAAAAGAGACCCGTTGAGTTCCCTCTCTCTCTCTCTCTCTCTCTCTACTGTGCTTCACAAGTTGGGATCATAGTTTCGATCTAGGGCTTTCGAAACAATGATCTTCAAGATCACTTTTCCCTCTGTCGGGACAAACAGATCTCACCTTACTTTCTCGATTTTCATTTTAGCTTAGCAAACTGAGACGAATATTCCTTTAAGATAAAGTTCGGCACTTGCTTTATGTCCATTTATTTTTTTTGTATGTTGAAAGTTTAACATGGAATAACAATTTTTTTGCATCTACTAAATTAAGTAGTCTAAAGCCCCCATCCATAACATTAGTTTGCCATTTTATGACTTCAAAGCCAGCAAGGTTAACATTTAAAATCATACAACCATACATCTAATTGCTTAAAGTAATCCTTTAATCCCAAATATATATATTTGCATTATTATCATGCTGTATAGCATTGAAATGGGTTATTGTTTAATAACAATGAATTATGAAATATTATAAGCAGACAGTGAATTTGGTCCTTGGGAAACCAGTTAGCAACATGTCTTAGATAACCCTAATCATATTATTAGATTTTAGAATAGCATCAACAAAAACCAAATAAAAAAAAAAAACCCATGAGCAAATGCCCCAGCAAGCACAGCAGTGAACAAACAGTCCCTCAAAACAGGGTTATGTCGCAATTGAATTCGAACTGAAAATTGAGAACGCAAAGATTAAAACACTGAATGAATCAAACCCATTATTAGAAACATACAATTTAGTAAATTTACAATGAACCAACATAAAGAAATTAATTAAAAAAAAAAAAAAACCAGAACTACTACTTACTGAGAGGAAGAACAGGAGCATAAATTAGGGGAAACAGAAATTTCAAAGGGGGTCCTTTGTTTGTTTCCTAGCAGCAGCCTGCCTTGGAAAATAAATTTATACATCAAACTTCAGTAAACAAGAGAGAGAGAGAGAGGATCTGATATGATATGATTACCAAAACTACAAACACAATACATAAAATTACACATATGATTGAGGAAGTATGTATATGATTTATATAGAAAGAACTTACTGGTTGGAGGGATCGGAAGGCGACGCCATTGTAGTTGTAAACTCGGAAAAAGACAATGAGAGAGAGAGAGAGAAAGAGTCGTTTTTGTTGGGCTGACCGCGAAGGAGGTCTCGCACAATCTCAGTTTGTGTAAATTTCTAGAATTCTCTCACTTTTAATACTTCGTTTTCCAAATTTTCCACATTTCGCAGTAGCTTGGTTCGATCCGAGAAATTTCGAGCTTTCATTAGGTTTTAACTGAATTGTAATTGAAGATTGCGATCGTAGTTTTGCGTTTATTCTTTGATTTTATTCGAACTGTAATGATTAGTTGGGTAATGATTTCAGTTTCCGCTTGAAATTTCAGATTTTGGTTTAAAAGGCTTACGGAGAAAGCAGAAAATAGAGTTTCTGCGAAGCATTAGGGTTAATTTTTAGGTGAGATTCTAATTGCGAACATATAAACTTCTAATGCTTCTTTTTCTCACAATTTATGATTTGAATGGAAAACAAAACAATGTAAGATAAAAAAACCATCATCATCTTCTTCTTCTATTTTTTAATTTTTTTTTCTTCTTTTCCTCAGTTTTCTCAGCAACCAGAGTTTAGTTAGTGTCAAGGTTTATTTATGGTTCAGTATTTTATTGTAAAAGGCTGTTTCAATTTTTGTGCTTTAGACCCTCATTCTAAGCAGTTTGCTTTCTGATTAAATGTGGTGACTATAGACTTCATTTTATCATGTTTGATTTATACCTCCTCCTCCATCATATAACAGAGTAAAATTGATTTGTTAATTAGGTATTATCTGGATATCACCACCACCGCAGCCACCGTCATCGTCTGTGCTTCGAACCCCCTCCGGTACCTCTTTTCCTCTCTCTCAAACCCTGTGTCTCTGAGGTTTAAATTGATGTTCTTTGTGGCTATGTTTGTTCAAACCAGTGAGAAAGAATGTCTTTGCTATAGTGACAAATCTCTTTGATCCATGTTTAAGAATTTCAATATTTATTGGATCTTAAAGTATACGTACTCAAAATAATGAACACCTACATGACAGTGGCTAACCAACCTAATTGGGGAAAAACTTAAAAAAAGAAAAGAAAAAAGAAAAAAGGAAAAGGCAACATATAATAATTCTTGCAAAATAAAATTATGAAAGGGTTGGATAGTGCATGAAAAAGAAATAAGTGTAGTACCAAGCAAGAAACACATTTACATAACTTTGAGAACATTTCAAGAGAATTCAGAGGTTAAGGAAATAATAAAA